GGGGGGGAAGGAGTGCAGGAACGGATGGGAAAGAAGGAAGAATAGCCATTGAGTGGAGGCAGCAGAGGGCAGGGCCGGCGGAAACTTCCGGGGGCAGACCTTTGGAGGGGGCTGGGAAGGTGGCTGCCTCGCCTGCCTGAGGCCCTGGGTTCCATTCCACATAAGCAGAAAAAGCAGGAAGTGGCGCTGTGGCTCAAGTGGTAGAGCGCTTGCCTTGAGCCGAAGAGCTGAGGGTCAGCGCCCAGGCCCTGAGTTCAAGCCCCATGACCGACAGAAAAAGAACTTTGGAGAGGAGAGTCCTACAAGCCAGAATGGCGACTGGCCACGGAGGGCGAGGGCGGGCGCAGGGCATGGCCGTAACGTGAAGGCGGGACTTAGCAGTGCCCGGGGCGGAGCCACGGGTAGAGGCGTGGTGTGGGGCGTGGCCCGACTGGGGGCGTGGCTTGGCGAGGGGCGGGGCCTCCCAGGAGCCCTTGCGCGCACCTGTCTCCGCTGAGCCTCGAGCTGGGCACGCAGGGAGCCAGCCCGCCGCAGCTCGTCCTCCAGCTGTCGCGTGCGCTCCGCGTGGCCGGCGTTGCGTTCCTCCAGCTGCCGCACCTGCCGCCGCAGCTCCCTCAGCTCGCCCAGGCGGCGGCGGCAGCTGTTCAGCGTGGCCTCCAGCTGCCCAGCGCGCTCTGAGGACTGTCTGGGGGGGAGGAGTGGGGGGGTCAGCCGAGATGCAGGGACCGATCAGCCAGGGATGGTGCTGGGGAGGTCATTACAGCAATGGTTAAGCTATCCAGGGATCCACAGGTGGAAATGGGGGGGCGGGGGGGGTTGCAGGATTGTGGGATTGCAAGGGGAGGACCCAGAGAGGGACTGAGGAGCTCCCAAGGACACCTTAAGGAGCGCTAGAGTTTTCTGGTTGTTGGTCGGTTGGTTGGTTGATGGATTGGAGACCAGGCTAGGTAAACCAGGAACAGGCAATTCTCCTGCTTCGCCAGGGTTAGAATTACAGGAGTGCACTATTATGCCCGCCTCAGCTGAAGGGTCTTTAGCAGGTGCACTGAGACACCTTCTAAAAGTTGCTGCAGGGTCATGAGGTGCTCCTCAGGGTTACAGAAGAATGTGGGGGTGAGGAGCCAGGGGTACCGTGCAAGAGAACAGCACGCTCTGGGGTGCTGTCCGGTCCCATGGGTCCAGGAGGTTTTGTCCAAATCAGGTGACATGGTGAGGACTGAGGAGAGTGCCGAGCCTGGGACAGGTACTGCGATGTGTGGGACTACAGGGGGGAGTCTGGGGGCATTGGAGGGCCCCCCTGGACATACGAGGGTTACAGAGGGTGCTCTGGCAGTGCTGGAGCTATGAAGTGGGCACTCAGGGAACCCCCCCCCACACACACACTCACCGAAGCTCATCCATCTCATCCTTCAGGGCTTGGGCCTCCTGGGCCAGGCTGGTCAGCGCCTGGTTTCGCTGCTGCAGCTCTGTGACCTCCCGCTCCAGCTCAGCACAGCGCAGCCGCTCATCCTCCCGGCCGCTCTCCAGCCTGGGGGTGTCAGGGAAAGCACACATGAGGACAATGCCAGCCAGACACTGGTTACTCAGGAAGCTGACATCTGAGGATCCCAGTTCAACGCCAGCTTGGCTTTGGGATGACTCTCTGAAGAGACTCATCCCCATTAACCACCAAAAGGCTGGAAGTGGTGCTGTGGATCATGTGGTGCAGCACCAGCCTTGAGTGGAAAAAGCTAAGGGACAGCGCCCAGGCCCTGAGTTCAAGGCCCAGTAGAGGCTCCCTTCCCCAAATGGGGGGGACACCCTTTCCCCCTAATCCCCTGCATGTCCCCACGGAGCCACACCTGAAGTTCTCCTCCTGCAGCTGTTCCAGCTGCGACTGCAAAAGCAGCAACTTCTTCGCAGTGAGGCCAGAGGCGCCCTCCGCTTGGGCGCGCCCCACGCGCTCCCGCAGCGCCGCGTTCTCCTGCGCCAGGCTCTGCTTCTCCTCCGACAGGAGCACCAGCTGTGCGCAGGGCAGGTGGGTGAGCTGGGTGGCTGACGCGGCCCTGCCCCCAGCAGCCAGGGTTGAACTCCCCTAGCTTGGCCCACCTGCCGCTCCAGATCCAGACAGTGGTGCCGAAGCTCATCCCCCTCCTCCGCCTCCTCACTGAGAAAGTAGTACCTGCGGGACTGGGGAGAAGGCAGTGGGGTTCAGGGAAAGAAAATCGGGGACCCAGGAGAACTGGGGAGGTAGGAATGCTATGGACAGAAAAGAGGAGACTAAGGAACTCCCCAGGATCTCAGAGAGGCTTTGAGGACTAGGAGAAGGATGACTTAGAACGCTGGGGGTGTGGTAAGAGACCAGGGCCTAGGTTTAGGCTAAAGCCAAGAACGAGGGGGTGGAGCCTAATAGAAGAGGCGGGGCTACCAGAAAGCAGAGCAGCGCTGAGATTGGTGCAGTGAGGGGACGTGCCCGCAGGGCGGGACCACCCAGAAAACCCACCCCCTTCCACCTCAGAAAGTCCTGACAAACAGCAGAAGGGTGGGAAACCTTTAACAGGGACCCCACACTCTCACCTGAGTATCAAAGTTGCCATATGATTCTGGCGACAGGGAGTCGGGGGTGTCTTTGGTCATGAGCTGCAGGGGGGTGGGAGAGACACTGTGAATCTCTCCACCATCCCATCCCCCTGGCCAATTTATTCATTTATTTTTTGGTGGGGATACTGGGATTTGAACTCAGAGCCTGAGAGTTATCCTTGAGTTGTTTTTTTTTTGTTTTGTTTTTTGTCAGTTGTGGGGCCTGAACTCTGGGCCTAGGCGCTGTCTCAGCTCTTCAGCTCAAGGCGAGCACTCTACCACTTGAGCCACAGCACCACTTCCGGCCTTTTCTGCTTATGTGGTGCTGAGGAATCGAACCCAGGGCCTCAGGCATGCAAGGCAAGTGCTCTACCACTGAGCCACCTTCCCAGCCCCATGTCCTTGAGCTTTTTCAATCCAGGCTGGTGCTCTACCCACTTGAGCTCCACTTCCACTTTTTGGTGGTTAATTGGAAATAAGAATCTCAAGGAGGGGCTGGGAAGGTGGCTCAGTGATAGAGTGCTTGCCTTGCATGCATGACGCCCTGGGTTTGATTCCTCAGCACCACATAAGCAGAAAAAGTGGGCAGTGGCCCTGTGGCTCAAGTGGTAGAACACTTGCCTTGAGCTGAAGAGTGGAGGGACAGCACCCAGGCCCAGAGTCCAGGCCCCATGAAGACAATAAATAAATAAAAGTTTCCTTAAAAAAAAAATCTCAAGGAGCCAGGCATCAGTGGCTCACACCTGTAACCCTAGCTACTCAGGAGATGGAGGTATGAGAAGCAGGGTTCAAAGCCATCCAAGAGCAGGAAAGTCATGAGACTCTTATCTCCAATCAGAAAAACCTGGAAGTGGCCTTATGGCTTAAGTGGTAGAGTGCTAGCTTGAACAAAGAGAGGCTCAGGAACAGTGCCCAGGACCAGCAAAAAAAAAAAAGTCTCAAGGATGCTCCTGTCCAGGCTGGCTTTGAACTCAAATTTCAGTCTCCTGATTATAGACCTGAGCCACCAGCACTTGGCTCTAAGGCCACTTCTGCCAGAAAACCCTAATCCTGAGATTGTTCTTCCAGCCTCTGACTCAGATGGAGGTCAGGACTTTTGGGCCTGCAGGGCTGTGACTTAGAGTTGACCGGAAAATAGGACAGAGAGATCTGGCCAGCTGACTTCCAAGTAGAGCCCAGACCTTAACCAGGACAGGGCTTGTGCCCAGTTGCCTTTGGCACAGAAACATGCCCTTCCCAGATGTTCCATGATGGCCACACAGGTGGCCCCACCCACCTCCTGGATGGCTTCCATCACTACGTGCTGAACAGATTCCTCCAGCGTCATGATTCTCTGGATATGCTCTGGGGATCGAGGGGGTGGGGGGAGGTGATTGAGACTGAAGGCCCCAGCCATCTTCTGGGGACCCTCATCACTCTCCCTCTAGCCCTCTTCATACCCTGCTTTTTCTCACAGCTGATGGCACAGCCCAGCACCAACTGAAGTAGCTTGCCCAGCTCGGCAGGATCTGAGAACTCCCCGATGAGGCTCACATCTGGAAAATGCTGTTCTGACACGGGATGTCCCAGAACCTGTAGACAAGGGGGAGACAGGTGTCAGGTTCATGGACCCTCCTTCTTATCCCAACCCAACCCTGGAATGCCCTGGAGGACTGCTCACATCCTGGGAATACTCCACCACGCTCCGTAAGATCTTCTCCAACTTGCTGACCTGGGGAAAGTCAAGAGGCTACACATACAGCTGTCCAGAGGCCCTCCAGGCCCCAAATTCTCTGCCCTCAATTCTTTTTATCTCATTTCTTCTTCTCTGTTCATCTTATCCCACCTGGCCCATTTCTCTGTGTGCACACACATGTGTTGGTACTGGGGCTTGAGCTCAGAGCCTGGGCATTTTCCCTGAGCTTTTTGACTCCAGGTTAGAGCTATACCACTGGAATCAGAGCTCCACGCCTGGCTTTTTGTTGGTTCAGTGTAGATCTACAGAGTCTCATGGACTTTCCTCCCCAGGTTGGCTTTGAGCTACAATCAAGCCTCAGAGCTCAGTCTCCTGAGCACCTAGGATTATAGGCATGAGCCACCAGTACCTGGGCAAACTTACGTTTTATCCCTTTTTGAGTGTTCAGTTTCTAGGTTCAACAGATAGATGAAAGAACAAACTTTGATGACTCCTCAGACATCTGCTGTAATACTGAGAGCTGATCCAGGGCTTCCAGTGCTCTACCACTTGAGCTATGCCCCTATCTCTTCTTTCAGTTTATTTGGGTTTGAAATCAGGGCCTCACCTTGCTAGACAGGTGCTCTACCACATGACTCACAGCCCTATTTCTTCTTGTTGTTTTAGCCACAGCGCCACTTCCGGCATTTTTTCTTTTTGCTTATGTGGTGCTGAGGAATCGAACCCAGGGCCTCATGCTTGCAAGGCAAGCGCTCTACCACAGAGCCACCTTCCCAGCTCTTGAGACAAGATCTTCATTCTTGTGTCCAGACTCAAACTGGAGAGCCTCCTCCTGCCTCTGCCTCCCAAGTAGCTGAGATTACAAGTATATGCCACCATATGCAACTGATCACTAGATATGTGTCCCTTTTCCAGGCCAAGTCTGTGTGTCCATCACCAAGGACGTGCATCTAGTTAGCCCTTCCCTAATCTCTCTCCACCACCCTGCCCTTAGTCATAAGTCCACCTGTCACCTTCAGCCTCCAGTTGGGACCTGGGTCCTGGCAGATGCCTTGGAGCCATGCTTCGTTGAACCAGGAGGGGTCTCTGGAGGGTGAGAAGGTGGGATGAGTTGTCTGGGGGACCCTTTTGGGACCCCCCCCCACACACACACCCTGAGCCTCACTCACATCTGGTTGAGCACATAGGCTATAGCAAGGCCGTTGCTTAGGTCCTGGGCGCTGGCACAGGGGGGCGGAACTTGAAATGTCTGTAACTGAGTAAGGGAAAGGAATGGAATAACTGGGAAATCTGGGGACCCGGGACCACCAGGCTGCTCCCAGGGCAGGGCAGGCGCTGGCCGGCTGGCTCCCGGCCCGCCAGCCCTGCGGGAGGAGCGGCTGCGGCGCACCTGGGTCTGGAGGGGGCGTGGCCTCACCTCACCTCTGCCCCACAAACCCAGCGCGCCCAAATCGGGGCGGGGCCACGAGTCACCTGGGCCCTTCAGGCACCACGTGACCAGGCCAACACACCTGTGTCCTCCCCCCCTCCCCCCACCCAGCCCTACGGTGAGCCAGCCACAGAGGGGCGGGGCCTCACCTGCTCGGTCCACGCACACCTGCCACGTGACGGGGGCAGATACTAAGGGCACAGTCCAACCGCCCAGCAGGCCAGACGTCTCCCTTCCTCCTTCCAGCCCCAGGAAGGAGGGAACGGACCGAGGGCCGGGAGGGGGGGCGGGGGGATCCAGGGCGAGAGGAACGGGTGCACACCTGTCCCCAGCCCCGCCCCCTCCCGACCTACCCAGGTGAGCAGAGACGCGCATAGCTCGGCCTTGTCCACGCTCATGGCTCCGGATCCGATTCGACCCCGGGCCACGGAACCCCAAGCGCCGCAGCTGCTCCGGGTCCGCCACCAGCGAGCGCCCGCTGCCCCGACCTCCCGCTCAGCCTAGAGCGCCGCCCCGCCCCGCCCCCGGGCCACAGGCTCCGCCCACAACACGTGACCTCGCCCCCTGCCAGCTCTTGTCTCCAGATCCGCCATGTTGCATCCGGGCACAGGTCAAGGCACCCACGTCGCCGCTAGGGGTCAGCCTGGCCCCAGCCGTGCGCACGGAGGGGGTGACCACGCCCCCCGACTCCCAGCCCCGCTGCTCATTTGGGGGGGGGTAGGGGAGCCGAAGAGGTGCTCATCCTTCTGGAGCGGTGCTGGGCCCCACCCTGCGTTACAGGCACTTCCCGTCCTGTTCTGCAGCTGCGGGAACTTCTGTCTAACCTTAGGATGGGAGCCTTCGTCGGTGCGGGAGGCGCGAACTGTCCTTCGGACGTGGAGCGGGGGCGGGATCCGAAGGTGTGAGGGGGGGTCACCATGGTAGAAGTGGCTCGGGGGGTCCTGCCCAGGGGTACCGGGTGGGTCCTGCCCAGGGGTACCGGGTGGGTCCTGCCCAGGGGCACGGGGGTCCTGCCCAGGGGCACGGGGGTCCTGCCCAGGGGTACCGGGTGGGTCCTGCCCAGGGGCACGGGGGTCCTGCCCAGGGGTACGGGGGTCCTGCCCAGGGGCACGGGGGTCCTGCCCAGGGGCACGGGGGTCCTGCCCAGGGGTATGGGGGGTCCTGCCCAGGGGCACGGGGGTCCTGCTCAGGGGCACGGGGGCGGGGCGCGAGCGTGGTCGATGGCGGGCAGGCTCAGCCTTCCTCAGGAGTGGACCGGCACAGTTGTCCAGTCTGGATCCGTCCCCACTCAGGCCTCCCTGAGCCCTCGAGGCCCCTGAGCGCCCCAGGCCGGCCCACGCTGCCGTCCCCGCCGCCCACCAGGGGGCGCGCGGGCCGCGGGGCGCGGGAAGCGCGCCCACCGCACCCAGACCCCGCCGGGCGGCGAGCCGGGCTCCCGGCGCCCGGGTCGGGGTGACGAGCGTCAACGACAGAATCGCCAGCCACCATTTCGGGGATGCTTCCTGTGTCCTGTCGCTGGGTAAACACGGAGACGCCCACAGTGCCGCCCACGACCCCCAGGTCCCGGTTTTGCAGGTGCACCCGGCGTTCAGGAGAGGGGTTAGAGCCCCAGCCCGCGCCCTTTGACCCCAAAGTCCCCTAAGGAGCCCCTCCCTGGCAGGCGGGCGGGGTGTGTGCAGTAATTAGAAGTTATTAGCTGCACCCCGAGGGAGGGGCGCGCCCTGCTGTAGAGGCGGGCCCAAGGTGCAGAGGTGGGGCGCTGCTCCCCGAACCCACAGAGTCTGACTCCCGGGACCCTGCCTCAGGGTGGGGTCGGCAAGGTGACCGTGCCCCCTGGCTCCCTTCCCACGGACGCGGAGGCTCCACCCCCAGACGCCGGGTTCCAGCCCAGTCAGAGGCACGGCCGCCCGGCCGCCCGCAGGCCAAAGCCCAGGAGGCAGATTACACCCCCACCACCCCCACACCCCTCGCCTTGTTTTCCAGACTCCAGCCCCTGGGGGGAAGGGGGCAGGGTTGAGGAGAAGGGGACCAGGGCCAAAGCTTCCTGACTGGGCTGCACGTCTTCCGGCTGGCCGGCTGGCCGCTGTGGGAACAGCTGCGGCGGACTCTCCTATCCCCAAGGTGGACCAGGAACAGTTAGAAAATGAGGGAGAGTGATGGAAGGGTTGACACTGACCAAGACAAGTGATCGAATCTCTTCCTATAACTAACTAATAATGACCAACAAACAAACAAGAAGTGGAGCTGTGGCTCAAGTGGCAGAGCCTTAGCCTTGAACAAAAAAGTCCAGGGACACTGACCATGACCTGAGTTCAAGCCCCAGGTCCAACACTAAAAAGAAAGAAAGAAAGAAAACGGATTGAAGCCCTGTGGCTCATGCCTGTCATCCCAGCTACTCAGGAGGCTGAGATCTGAGGATCACAGTTCAAAGCCAGCCAGCCGGGGCAGGAAAGTCTGTGAGACTCTGATCTCCAATGAACTACCAGAAAACCAGATCCAGAGTTCAAGCCCCACAACCAACAAAAAATCAAATAAAAAATAAAAGGGAGGTGCGTGAGCATGCTAGGAACTTCAAATATAGTTATAGATTTTGGAGTGAGTGTCACATGTCACAGAGATTTTTGAAGTTTAGGGGAAATTTTAAGGGTATTAATTTAAATTGTCCTGATGTTGACGCGACATCCCAGATATCCAGGGAGTCAAGAGTAAAATAAAAAGCTGGGGGCTGGGAAGGTGGCTCAGTGGTAGAGCGCTTGCCTTGCATGCCTGAGGCCCTGGGTTCAATTCCTCAGCACCACATAAGCAAAAAGAAAAAAGCTGAAAGTGGCGCTGTGGCTCAAGTGGTAGAGTGCTCGCCTTGAGCTGAAGAGCTGAGGGACAGCCCAGAAGCCCAGAGTTCAAGCCTCAAAACCGACAAAAAAAAAAAAGTAAAGCCAGGCATTAGTGGTTCACCTCTGTCATCCTAGCTACTCAGAAAGCTGAGATCTGAGGATCATGGTTCAAAGCCAGCCTGGGCAGGAACATTTGTGACTCTTATCTCCAATAAACTACTTAAAAAACTGGAAGTGGTACTGTGGCTCAGGTGGTAGAGCGCTCACCTTGAGCTGAAGAGATGAGGGACAGCGCCCAAGCCCAGAGTTCAGGCCAACAACAACAAAAAAGAAAAAAGAAAAAAAGAGTAAAATGAAGAGGCTACCCAGCTCAGTGGTAGAGTACTGGCCTAGCATGCATAAAGCCCTGGGTTTGATTCCTCAGTACCATATACACAGAAAACAGCCTGAAGTGGCACTGTGGCTCAAGTGGTAGAGCACTAGCCTTGAGCCAAAGAAGCTCAGAGACAGTGCCCAGGCCCTGAATTCAAGCCCATGACAGGCCAAAAAAAAAAAAAAAAAGAAAGAAAGAAGAAGAAGAGTAAAATAAAGGTCCATGAGCCAGTGGCTCATGCCTGTAATCCTACTCAGAGGCTGAGATCTGAAACGTGTAGTTGGAAGGCAGCCTGCACAGGAAAGTCCAGGAGGCTCTTATCTTCAATTTTCCACCAAAGAGCCAAGAGGTAGAGCTGTGGCTGAAGTGGTAGAACACTAGCTTTGAACAAAAATGCCCAGGGATATCACCCAGGCCCTGAGTTCAAGCCACAGTATTGGCACATACCCACATCCTGAGATTTAGGGGATGGATGCAAAGCCATTTTCAATACAGGAAGTCCTAAAGTTTGGGAGTGACCAGGCCCCTCCTTTTACCCAGGTCTAAGCCAGAAGCCCCTAGCTGGTTTGGGGACCCCCACCCCCGCCTGTCTGTTTCCAGGAACAGCTGGGCCCAGCCTGGGTTGTGTTGCTGGGAAGCCTGTGACTCACCCTCCCTGTGGCCACAGCTGGACCCTGGCCCGCCCCTCCAGCCTGAACATCTGGGCAAGGACTCACTCATCAAGGCTGGGGCTTCAGGGTCCCGTAAGAGGAAGACAGTACCCACCCCATCTCCCCTCCTGACTCAAAATACTGGGTAGGCCTCACACACCATCACCTTGGGGGATCTGGCAGCACCCCTGTACCCCAAATGCTGACCTTCTGCCTGGAAGTCCTCTCCTACTCCACCCCTGTCTCTGTGTCTCAGTATTCAGATGGGTCTGTGATTGTGTGTGTGTGTGTGTGTGTGTGTGTCCATTTGTGCCTTGGTTTTGGTGTTGTTTTGTGCCAGTACTGGGGCTTGAACTCAGGGTCTGGGTGCTTTTTCAATTAAAGTTGAAGCATTCCACTTACAGCTTTTTTTTTTCCTTTTCTTTCTTTTTTCTTTTTTTGGCTGGTTAATTGGAGATAGTCTCACAAAACTGGGTGCTGGTGCTCACGCCTGTAATCCTAGCTACTCAGGAGGCTGAGATCTGCGGATCACTGTTTGAAAGCAGCAAGGCAAGAAAGTCCATAAGACTCTTATCTCCAATGAACCACCATAAGACCGGAAGTGCAGCTGTGGCTCAAAGTAATAGAGCACTAGCCTTGAGCAAAAAGAGCTCAGGGACAGTGCTCAGGCCCTTAGTTCAAGCCCTACAACCCCCCCCCCCCACACACACAAAGTTTCAAATTTGTCTGCCCAGGATCAAACTATGATCCCCAGATCTCAGCCTCCCAAGTTGCTGGGATTACAGGTGTGAGCCACCAGTGCACAGCTCCCTTTATGTCTTGGCATCATATAGTTTGTGCCCCTCTAGGTAGAATAAGAAGGGATGTTTTCAAGAAAACTGGGGGTGAGGGGGGGTGGCTTTATGCATCTTGGGTATAACTTCTCATTTTAGGGTGACCAGGAATCTCATGCTCTCCAAGTATCTCTGTATGGTCTGGCAGTTTGGTTGGCTACTCTGATTGTATCTTTTGCTGGTGTGTTTCCCTACTTCACCATCCTCCTTAGGAAACCTGGGGGGTGGGGGGGGCGGGATTGGGGTCCCTGTTGCTCTTGGTGTGGAAGGTGACAGTCAGCCCCTCAATATGGCCTCGGGTTGTGTGTCTGTGATCCCATTTTCTCTGTGGTCCATGTGTCCTGGTCCACGGGCCTTTGACTATCTGAGTATGGCTGTCCGTCGTGGCCTTGTGGCTTTCTGTGATGGAATCCTACTCCTGTGTCCTGTGTTAAGTCTCTGCCTTTATCTTGTGTCTCTGTGGCCACCATCTCCAAGAAGGGGTGTGTGTGTGTGTGTGAGACGATCCAGACCCGGGACTTTCTGCCCTGCTCTGTGATGGCCCCCGGGGGGGGGGGCGTGCGTGGCTCTGTTCCTGTCCCCGCACACGCTGCCGGTGACCCGCGTGGCAGGTGCATCCGGTGAGCCTGCGGTGACCTTGGGAAGGATGCAGGAGGGTGTGCGTGTGTGCACGTGTGTGTCCGAGTCACACCAGACTTGGGGCTCAGTGTGCGCGTGCGGGATGGGGGGGCTGCACCCCGCATCTCGGCGAGGGGAGGTGGGGCGCCCCTCCCCCCGGGAGGCCCCGCCCCGCCCTGCGG